ATGGGGGAAGATGTGGGCAATCCAGATCCCAGGAGGGTTCTTCAGACTGGTCCCTGGATCCTCTCTAGAAGTCTGGGTTAGGACCCCAATGCCAACAGTCCCCTTCTAAGAGGGGCAACCACTGCATGAAGATCAAGTCAGGGAGTGAAGTTGAAAAAGCTTTTAGATTTGGAATCCTGGATCCTGGCTTCGGTACCCTCTAGTTCTGTGATACTGGACAAGTCACGGAAACGCACCGAGCCCTTAGTAACCTCATCTGTAAAATGGAGACCATATTTTACCTAGCTCAAAGGACTAGTGATGATGATGAAATTACGAAACACATACACACCACACACACACACACACACGCACACGCACTCCTAGCATATTTGCTGGGTACATGGTAGGCACTTAGTAAATGTACCCTTCTTTGACCTTCTCTTACCAGGAACTTATGCAATTGCCCTACTTTCAGTACTTTCTTTCTTCATTCAATTAGTCATCAGGGTCGAGCTCAGTCTGGGGCTCAGTGTGATTAGGGCTCAGTCTATGACCAGAGTCAGGGCTCAGTGCATGACCAAGGTCAGTCTCAGTCAGGGGCCAGGATCAGGGCTCTCAAGCTGATCCAAGAAAACCAAAGATCCTCTGAGTGTGACTGACTGGCCCTGATCTGTGCTCTGCCCCGCCCACTGCGCCCGGGCCAAGCCTTCCCCAGGCACCTGGAGGAAACAGCACTTCCCCTGTGGGCCCTGGCTCCGGCCCTGTTCCTTAGCTCGGGGCAGCCAGCAGTCAGAGAAGTAGCTGCCAACTGGCAGCCCAGCCACCAATCCTTTGGCCAAGGGTCTGAACCCCACAGGCTGTCTCCTGGCTGGCCCTGTCCCCACACCCAGCCTGCTGGGGCACCCCCAGACTGTCAGGCCACTGCCTTCCTGGTCCCTGCTGTGCTCTGATTGGCAGGCCTCTCCATGCCAGGCTGGGAGGCAGGTGCTGAGCACTGCTCAGGCCCAGATGGGTCAGGGGAGACCCGGGACCTGGGCACCGGCCCAGCAGACCTGGGCGTGGAATCCGTCTTGCATGTACAGCTGGGGCTCTTGTAGTCTCTAAAGAACTGAGACTGATTCCCAGGCCAGAGCACAAACCAGCCTGGCAAGCCAGGAACAGCATGGAGACCAGAACCGACATGCTGGCCACGGGAATACTGGAGACTCAGAGACGGGCAGGGACTGGCCTGAGGTCACACCGGGAGTCAGGGGCAGCGGGCCGGATTCTGGGTTTTCCTGACCCCATTCTGGCTTCTCTCCACCGCCCCATGGCTTTCTTCTGATCGCCTTGTGTGCCCACTGTGGGCACTAAGGATACCCCTCACTCCGTATCATGCTTTACACCTGTCAGCGTCTCCCATGGGCTCTGCCCTCTCCACAGCCCTCCCAGACAGGTTCCCAGGTGAGGTACTGGGGCTCTGAGGCGAGAAGTAACTTTCCCAAAGTCACAGAGCAAGCTAGAAATGAGGCCGGATTCATTCAACAATTATTTGCTGACAGCTTTCTATGTTCCAGGTACTTTGTTAAATAGTTGGGGTAGGATGGGGAGCAAAACAGACCTGGTGGTCGCTTGTGGAACTAGAGGGGCACCATGGGGGTGGGCACTGAGGAAGAATATGCCAGTGATCCCATAAAAGCACATCAAACATGTGGATCTGCATCTATGGCCTGCGGAAGCGTGCAGTCCCAGGAAAGTACCGAATGCGGGAAACGTTGGCCTGGTCTGGGAGGTCAGGGAGGGCTTCCTTGAGGAGGTGGGGAGAGCTGGGATCCAAAGAGGGGAGGGGAAGGGAGAATGTTCTTGGGGAGGGAGCGTGAAAGGCCTAGAGTGGGAGGGAACGGGGTCTGTTCAGAGAATGGAGAAACACCTGGTATGGCTGGAGCCCAGAAAGGGAGGGGCGGGCAAGGATCCAACCACGCTGGGCCTGGAATCTTCTTTACCCTGGGAGCAATGAGAACCCTTGGGGTTTGAAGAGGGGCAAGATCAGATGTGCTAAGAAGAAAACAGTGCAGTAGCCTAAGGTCAGGGAGCTGGCAGAGAGAAGCCGCCAGATTTCAGAGATAGGAGAGGCACTGACAAGCCAGGGATGGAGTGGAGGGGGGCTGCGGGATGAAAGAATGTGATCACCCACACCAGGATGAGGATGAGATCAACAGAGCGTACAGAGGAAGAGGAGTGACTAGGGTTGAAACCGGGGACAGGCCAGCATCACTAAAGATGAGACACCCAGCGGACATAGGGTGAGGCATGGCCGTCACCTTAGAGAAAGCGATTTCAGTGGAGTAGCGGGGGGCAGATTGGAAGCAGGGCGATGGCCCGGATGGAAAGAGGCAGAATCACAAGATGAGCCACAGGGACTTCTTGGTCTGGGACAGTCGCCAGCTAGAGGTGCACCCTATTACTAGCTGGGCTGGAGCCTGCACAAGGAGGGACATGACCCGGCCCCCAGCTAGGGAGTCCCCATCGTTAGACCTGGAACTCTCTTCAGCTCCCCACTCGTGGGCTGAATGAGTAAATGGCTCTGGGGTACTCTCAGGCCTAGGCTTTCACTCCTACCCCACCACTGCCCCCGTAGGTCTGTCTGCCTGCTGGGGATGCAGCAGGGCCCAGGGAGAGGGGAAGGAGGCTGGGACAGGAATCCCCGCAGGTGAGACACCCGGGGAAGACAGAGAGCAGGAAGCTCAGCCAGGACACCAAGCTGAGGGAACCAGAAACACAGGCAAGAGAGAGATGAGAAAAAGTGTTTTGAAAGACGATGAAAGATTAATAATACTAATCTACATTCGATACACTTGAAGCCTTGCAATATTCCTCATGAGCAAAAGGAGCGTGGGTGGGCCTGGCTTCATCTGTGCTTGTGGTCTGCTTTGTTAAGGGGCATGTGCAATCAGGACATCCAGGGGACTCCGGATTCTTCCCCCGCCTTCTGGCTTCCGAGGGTCTGGGCCCTCCCTCTGGGGTTCCTGCCTGGGGCTGGGAGCTCGCTGTGAAAGCCCCTTTCAGGTCCCCGACAGCTGGGCCTGCATTCTCCAAGCCCTCCCTTCTGCTGTCATTTACATCTCATTAGCACCCCCGGGGGCTGGTGGCCCCTGCGCCGCCTGGAGCCCAGGAAGGCGCGCTGCAGGCTGAGCTGGGCTCTGCAACCGGCCCCCTCCCGGGGCTGGAGATGGGTGCAGCCATGCGCTCGCCCCGCCGCCCCCACACCCCTCACCCAGGCTCCGGCCGGCTGGGCTCCCGCTGCGCGTTCCCATGGCAACTGGTGGGGGGCGGCGCGGGTCGCGGTGCCTGCCGTGGAGCAACTCCGCGCCCCGCGCCCCGCCCCGCCGCCCAGGCTGGCTTGGTGATAGGCAGGGCCTCAATCTCCCGAGATGATCGGCGATAATTGGTTTATGGAAATAGCTGAGGGGAGAAGGCAGCTCCCTGCCAAGCCCACTCTCGGCCACCTGTCCCTCCTCACCGCGGACATGGAGTTGGGGGAGGGGAGGGCCGAGGAGCTGGGTGGTGGAAATGGGGCTTTTGAGACAAGCAAGTGTTCCACCTGTTGGTCTCCAGCATGTCGTCTAGCCTCCTTTCAACCGTGTGGGGGTGCCGAGGTTGTCGTCCTACTGACTGGCTGTCTCAGTGGCTCAGCCCGGCTCCTTAAGCTGCTCCTTACGCCTCAGTGGCGCCTCTAAGCCTGTGCTCAGGCCTATGCCGGGAGCCTTGTGGGGGAAATGGAGGAGCGGGGATCTGTGCTCTGGAACCGCACCCCAGTTTGGGGACGGAAGAGCAGCAGCAGGTACTCTGAGAGTACCCCAGAGCCATTTACTCATTCAGCCCACGAGTGGGGAGCTGAAGAGAGTTCCAGGTCTAACGATGGGGACTCCCTAGCTGGGGGCCGGGTCATGTCCCTCCTTGTGCAGGCTCCAGCCCAGCTAGTAATAGGGTGCACCTCTAGCTGGCGACTGTCCCAGACCAAGAAGTCCCTGTGGCTCTTAATACAGCACCAGAGTATTAATAAAGTGCGTCAGCCTCAGAGTTGTCCCTGCTGTGTGGCTCCAGAGGAGGGAGGGCTCAACTCTGGTGGCTGCCTGGAGGAGGAGGAGCCTGCGAGGCTTTCAAGGTGAGATTTCAGCAGGTGTTGGGAGAGGGCTGGGGGCAGGCACTCCCGCAAAAGGAAATGTGGGCCAAAGCCCGAGGTGGGCACTGAATGACTGCTGGACTTCGTAGAGGAGGGGAGGTGTAGAGTAGCTTGTGGGGGGGCTTCCACTGTTTACAGAGGGGCTCAGCTTGTGGCAGGCCTTACCGCACAGTGCCTTGTCATCAAGATCGAACGCATGTCCGGCATCCCTACCGAAGGCTGGCTGGCTGGCTGGCTGGACACTGTGTCGCCCCTTGCTGCCCTTCTGGAGGCCTGAGGCCCGTGAGGTGGGCGGCAGACATGGGACACGGCAGGGCAGGCCTCACTCAGGCAGCAGGCTGTGAGAAGTGTGTGCCCTGACCGGCTGGCTGGCGGCGGGCATGGGGTGCTTTAAAGGACCAGAGCTAGGGAATCCCGCATGAGAGCAATGACCCAAGAAATGGTGGGGGCCAAGGACAAGGACGATCGCGAGGACCTACCGCAGAACTGGACTTGGTGGGATCGGGCACCCAGAGGCCAGGAGAGGCGGGCTCGGGTCTTCTTCCTCTGACCACCATCCCACTGGGAGCCCAGCCCAGGCCTCTGTATGCAGAGGCCGTGCCTCCCTAAGGTCAAACTGTGGCCAAGCTGTGGGATCAAGGAGTGGCTCTTCCTTCCTTCCACAGCCCTGGTGAGCAGCTTCCCACGCAGCGGGGAAGATGTCAGCCTCACGTGTACAGAGCTTACAGCCCTGTGTGATTCACACTTGGCTTTCCCCTCCAGGTATCACAGTCCCGCCCCCAACCTTTGGCTGCTCCAGTTCCAAATATCCAGAGACTGGTTTCTGCTCACAGCCCCTCCTCCCAGCACTACTTACACTACCACATAGGGCCACGGCTCAGAGTCATCCCTGCAGGAGGGTAGGTTGATGGCCCCGTGGAGAGTGACCATGATGGTCTCCTTATTAGAGGGGGACAGGTGGCTGGTGACAGATTCCACACTCCGGAAGGTGTTCGGGGGCTCCTCTGGGCTCTCCGCGACCTGTGGAGAGAGCCAGGGCTGAGTGGTCTCCTCTGCGGTGGTCAGCTGTCCTTACTGCCTCCCTATTAACTCCAGTCCCTCACTGCTCCCCTCCGGGTGCCTTTCCCTCTGTCATCCCCCCACCCAGTTTGGAACTACAGGGCACTTGCCTTTGGCCCCATTTTCTCCCTGCCTTTGTCCCACACCCTATGTCCGCCCCAGCGATGCGTCACTTCCTGTGGAGACAGGCCCTCCCCTCTCAAGTCCAGTCTCACCGCTAAGCCTTTGCTTTTGCAGGTGTTTGCCTCTAATTCCTAAGTCCTGCCTGCTTTCGAGGTCCTAGCAGCTGGCCTTCTTCGGTCTCTGTAACCTCAGCCCAGTCCACCTGTCACTTCAGGTCCTTCCCATGCACAGCCCTTTACAAAGTTTATCCATATCCATGGAGTCACCCAATGCATTAATGAAAAGGGATGAAGGTGTCTGTCCCAGATGCCCCTCTATCTTCCACCCAGAGAACCCTACAGACCAGGAAGACAGAGAGGCGCCTGCCTGCACATGGGGCCTCTAGGCTGGTGGCCCTAAGCAGACACACAAGCAGGAGCTCAATAGCTCAACAGCTTGGGGATTCAAGGCCCAAAGGACCATGGTATTGAGAGCTGCTGAGAGGAGACAGAAGCAGCAGCCGGGGGGAAGTCAGGGAAGGCAGCTGGGAAGAGGAGGCCTTAAAGTGTTGGGAAGACATGCACGACTGGAAGGACAGGCTGGAAGCTAGAGCAAGGCTGAGAAGTGGGGAGGGAGCTTCCCACAGCTCAGGGCAGGCTCATTTTGATTCTGGAGGCAGGACGAGTCAGGGAGGATGGCAGAGCCAACAGTTTGTGAGCAAACACTGTGGGTTGGGGAGGGTTGTGGACATGTGGCTACTGTGGCTTGGGCTGGTCTTCTTCTGCACTGGCTGGCTGACTCTCATTCCCTGTGCCTGGACTTGACACGGATGACCCAGATTTGCCCTTGCGAGCCTCATCTGGCAGGAGGCTCTCCCCATCCTTGTCCCTAGCTGATGTGAGGGGCAACAGAGGGGCCCTCCTGGCCTGATGAGGGAAGCAGTGGACCTCCTCAGCTTGGAGATGGGGCCCCCGAAGGGTGACTAAGGGTTGCCCTTTTATCTAGAAAGTTTGGCCTGTCAGAACCTGCATTCCAGGCCAGGCCCTGGTAGGGGGAGTCCTCAAAGTGGGAAGTGTCCATGGAGACCGAGAACAAAGTCCTGTGACATAGAGGGTAGACAGAGGCCAGGAAAGGAGTGAGGACCTCGTTCTGGGGACCGGCTTTGGTGCTGGGAGCAACCACACCAGGCTGGATCCTCTGGCTGAGGCCTGATGAGCACTGAGTGTCAGGAGAGCCGGGTTTAACTGGGTCTGCCCCTCACCATCATGGGACCTGAATCCAGTCAGGCTCCGAGAGTCAGTTTCCCCAGCGGGAGGCTGTGGGCTTGGAGCAGCTGGTCTGGAACCTGCCCTGCTCCCTGTGTGAGGGCCCAGGCTCCCCACACATTGTCTGCTCCCACCCTGAGCCTGGGGGTTCTGGGCACAGTGGATCCATCCCTGTGGCTTGCTCCCTCACTTCCCAGAGGTCTGACGTTATCAGAAAGGCCTTCTCTGTACAAGCTGTGGTCCTTGCCTAACAAGATGACTAATTAGGAGGTGAGAACCCCACCTCCCAGCCCCAGAAGTGCCAGCCCTACAGAGAAACCCCCCCGACTGAGGAGCGCCCCCTCCCCAAGACCCAGTGGGGCCTGTCACCATCTGCAGAGGTGTTGAGACTTATCCCTCCCCGTCTCCTCTGTTCCCCTGCCAGGCCAGGGTGGGAGGAGGGGAGGGAGGTCAGTGCTCAGAAGGAACCCCTACCGGATGGGATGGAGGGGGACTGGGGCGGGGGGTAAGGGAGGGTGGAAGCAGGCACAGAGCCACCCCTCCCCCTCATAGGTCAGAGATGCTCACTGCTCATCCCCCATAACCCACCCCGCTTTCCTGCAGGTTTAGTCTCCTGGTTTAGGGGTATAGGAGCAAGACCAGTAACCTGTGGTGTCGAGAGATATAGGTTTCAGGCCAGCTCTGCCCTAACTCCCTGTGGGGTCTTAATATTCCCGCCTGGTCAGTGGGGATATCTGGGATGGTTTGTAGTTCAGTCTTCCTGGTAACAGGCCTAAGGCTCCTGCAGTGAGGCCAGGAGAGGCGACTCATGTCTCCCCAGTGCCCCAATTCCCAGGAGCAGCCTAAGATGGTGGCCCCATGCCCCTGTTGCTATGGGGGTACAGGGCCTGTCCCCAGCTTCTGAGGGCCCCAGAAGCAGCACGGCAGCTGCCCAAGGGCTTTCACTGACTCCCTGGTAAACCCAGAGCCCAACTGGTGATTTGAAAGACCAGGCGCATGAATTGTGCCCCCTCTCTGTCCCCTACCCGCTCTGTGCCTCCCCTTGTGGGACAGCCTTCTGGGAAATAAAGCTTCCAGGGGGGCTGACAAAGACTGCTTGTGCTTCAGTTCTGGGCATGAGGCCAGCTACCAGGCTGGTACCTCCTGGTGAGGCCGGCAGGCATGTGCCCGCTGGGCAGGTGGGGCCCAGAGCCAGGGAGGCCTGGGCCCAAGTGGGAGGCCTGGAGCAGGGGCCGTGGGCCAACCTGTCTGCCTCCCCTTTCTGCCTTCCTACGTCTGGATGAGAATCTGCAGGCTTCCCTCAGAGAAGTGCCTGCATCAGGACCAATGCCCGCCCCCATCCCTTCAGTTTCCCAGCTGCATCACAAAGGTTTTGAGTTAAAAAATGGTCCTTCATGGGCCCCTGGGTGGCTCAGTTGGTTAAGCGACTGCCTTTGGCTCAGGTCATGATCCTGGAGTCCCGGGATCGAGTCCCGCATCAGGCTCCCTGCTCAGCAAGGAGTCTGCTTCTCCCTCTCCCGCTCCCCCCTCTTGTGCTCTCTCTCTCTCTCACTCTCTCTCTCAAATAAATAAATAAAATCTTAAAAAAAAAAATGGTCCTTCATGTTCCTTCTAGTGTCAGCATCTGAACTTGCTTGGGAGTTATGATGGTCATGGTGGGGCCCTTTCCTAGGCGGGGAAACAGGCTCAGGGAGGCAAAAGCCCTTGTATCTGGGCACTGGGCTTAGCTAGCAGGCAGAGCCGGAAGGGGGATGGGGTCCGTGTCTCCCTCCACTTTGTGTGGTCTCTGCTCTGCTCTAGTAGTGTTCTCTGGATGTGCCAAGCTTTCTATGGCCACAACGTACATGCCCTTGGGCTCACGAGCTGGGTAGCTAATACTTGTCAGGACTGGCAGTAGGAGTTGTGGTAGTTGGAGGAGAAGAGGCTTTTCCAAAGATGACACAAAAGTCAGAACTCATAAAGGAAAGGACTGATCACTTTGATTGCATTAAATATCCATACCAACTTCTATAATAACCCCCAATTCACCAGAATATGAAGAAAAGACAAACAGGAGAAAATATTTGCAAAATATATAAAAGAATGAATATCCTTAACACACAGAGAACACTGAAATCTATAAGCATCACCGCAATAAGAGACATGGAAGATTCACCAAAGAAATATGAATATGTATTACTGTATACACGATATAAACATCCTTCTAGGGGATTCTACTCAGTCATTAAAAATGTTCCGCAAAGTTATGAATGAAACAAAACAAATCTGTCTCCTTCTCAGGGCTCCCATGCATTTGGATCCCCAAATCCAGCTTGTGTGGGCAGGTAGGACCAGCTGGCCGCTTAGGGCCTCTAGGTCAGGCCAGCGGCGGGGCCTGGTCCTGAGTGTGTGGCATTCCAGAAAGCAGCTGAAAGGGGGAGGGTGGACTCAAGGGGAGGAGCCAGGTGTGGGTAGAGAACACCAGGAACCAAAGACACCAAAGTCAAGGCTAATAGAGTAGAAACCGCAATGGGGGCCCCGGTAGCTATTTGGTTTGAGTCTAACTGCAAAGAGGCTGTCCCCAAGTTAGCAAGTACCTGGTGCCTTTGGTCTTAGCTCATTTTGCCATCCCTGTTGGTACTTGGCACAGTCGAGGGCAGAGGCTCAGCCTTGCCAGTTAGCAGAGGGTAAGGGAGGCCTCATATTGAACTGCTTGCACTTTTCTCTCGGAGATTTATTTATTTACTTATTGGAACTGTTTGCATTTCACTGCACTGAGATTTTAGTCCCCTCTTGGCAGGGTCTTGCTGCTCTGTCCTAGCTATTTATTAAGCATCTACTATGTGCCAGGCGTTGTGCTGAGTGCTGGGGATACAGCAGTGATCACAACTGACAAGAATCCCTTCTTTCCAGGAGTTGAGCATCTGTGACCTGGAGCAAGGGTCTGGGCCACGGCTGGAAGGGCGTAGGACAGTGGAGCATTGGCAGTCCTAGGGCAGCAGCCTGGGAATCTCCTAGAAGATCTTGGAGAGTGATGGTGAGCCACCTCGGTGGGGTCTCTGAGCCTCTGTGACAAGAGGGCAAAAACTCCTTTCCAGGCTATGGGCTGGGAGAGGCACTATACGCAGTTCAAGCTACATTTTTCTCTGGGTTATGGGGATCCCAGGCAGAAGCAACCAGGTAAGGGTAGTAGGAGCTGATAACACCTGCAAGCATGCCAAATTTCTGCTCCCACGTGGCCCAAGAGTATAGCATGCCTGGAACCTGGAAGCACCACAGAGGCCACCTCGCTCTCCATTTAGAAGCTGTGAAAACTGAGACCCAGAGAAGGGGAGCTTTTGTCATGACTTAGAAGCAAATAAAACAAGGGACTTTGAAGGAGAGATGAGCTCAGGCAGGTGCATGACCCATGCCCCCAGGCCTCACCTTTTTCTTTTTCCGTCCCATCCTCTCGGGGCCAGGAGTGTTTGGCCTTGTTTAACAATCTTGGGGACCAGTACCTGAGATTGGTGGGTGGTCAGGCATCGGATCTGCCCAGACAGTCGGCCTGAGCACCTTGGAGTCTTTGGGGCTTGGCAAACAGTAGGGACGTCAGTGTTGCATCTGGGCTGCCGTACGCTGGCTCTGGGACCTCGACAGGGGACATGGGCAGGGGGATGGGCAGGTGGGGGCAACCTGGAGCTTTCTCAGTAGCGGGACATTCTTCCAGTGGAGTTGTCCTCAGGGCTTGGAGCCATGAGCAGCTGCGTAGGGGTCAGCAGCTGAAACAACTAGCTCTTGGTACCCCCAAGGAGGTAAAGACAGGGGTGTGTCTCTCTCTGTCCAGTCCTGGAAAAGCCCAGCGGGGTCACCTGGGCAACACTGTGTGACGTCATAGGGGAGGGCAGAAGTCACACAGATAGAGTCCAGGTATCATGGGGTGGGGGCTCAGAAGCCCTTCTCCCTGTTTTTGGAGCTGGATCCTGCCTGCTCTCTGGCTTACTCAGTCCTCACCCTCCCTGCTCTTGGCACCCCAAACAGCTCATCAACCAAGACTCACCAGTGGTTCTGTATGCCAAGCCTCACTGAGGTGACCTAGAAACTATTCACAGGAAGTTACAACTTGGTTAATAACAACTATTTCTGTTAAAGAATCCTACCTCTTTGGGTGCCTATAGTCTCTCGCTTGTTTAATAATAATAAACACAAAATTCGAGAAAATGGTTTCCTCTTGGAGGCTGGGTGGGAAGAGGGTAGAGAGAATGGGGAGTAAGTAGGTATGTTATTGTAACGTCTCTTAGATTGGGTGGTCGGTTAATGGGTGTTCATTACATTATCAAAAATAAATTATAGGGCGCCTGGGTGGCTTAGTCATTTCAGTGTCTGTCTTCGGCTCAGGTCATGATCCCAGGGTCCTGGGATCGAGTCCTGCATTGGACTCCCTGCTCAGTGGGGAGCCTGCTTCTCCCTCTGCCCCTTCGCCCCCTGCTCTCTCAAATGAATAAATAAAATCTTTAAAAAATAAATAAATAAATTATAAATAACCAAAGAGGGTCAACAATGGTTCTGGGTTATGGACCCAATATCATGACTAATCCATTTCCGAGCCCCGCAAGAAATTATTACAAAGATATCAGTTCTTTTTACTGAGCACTTATTATGTGCCAGACGTGGTTCTAAGTGCTTTTCTGTGCAGTAAGAGGGCAGAATGAGGAGTGATTGGCCCTTGGCCTGGGGTGAGGTCTGCTCCGAGGGGAGGCTTGGTATGAACTGGGCCTGGAGGCATGGTCAGGAATCCTGGGCTAGCAAACGTGAGATTTGGGGTACTGTGTGGGGTTGAGAGGTGTCTGGAAGACTCCCGTGGCCTGCCTCATTCTTCTGCCAGCAGTTTTTGACCCCGTTTTGAGGGTTCTTCCCATTTTCCTGGGTCTAGGGACCAAGCGCTGGGCCATCCTGGCAGCAAGAGGCGGGAGCTTATGGCTTTGTGGGGACCTGCTCCTTCCCCCTCTACGCCTAGTCTAGAGGAAGGCAGGGAGGATGTGGCTCTCCCCAGTTTAGAGACAGAAAAACTGAGGCCTCACCTATGATTGGAATTGGAAAGACCAGCCAAGCTCATCCAGATGGCTGGGGATGAAAGCCCCTACCACCCTAGGGTACCTCCTCCTTCCAGTTAGTTCCCAAGACTGCAGCAGCAGATTGCGGGGGTGGGGGGGGGGGCGGTCAGTGCCGCCCCAGGGCCTACACGAACCATTCAGGGCCCAGTTCGGGTTCTACAGCAGGGCTGGAGAGGCCCGCAGGGCACTTCCAGAGCCAAGTTGAAGGAGGCGCTGTGGCTCCACACCTCCTCAAATTCCGCAACCCCCTGCCTCACCGTGGCCCCTAGGGCTGCCCCGCCTGGGCTCTGGCCTCTGGGTTCTCAGCCAGCTGCCCTAGCAGGCATCCGAGTTTGTGCCCCTGGAGCCCCAGCCTGCTGGCCTTCCTGCCTGGAAGGAAGATCATGCAATTGGACGCTGGTTCCAGGCAGTCTGGCTCCAGAGGGCTAGCAAGCCCTGTGCGCTCAGCAGCCGCCAGAAGGGCCTTCCTACTACCTCACTTGAGGGCTGCCTAGCTCCCTGGGCCAAGGACCCCTGGGACACTCACTCCTGTGCCACATGAACCTTCCCCCCAGAACTGTTTCCTCCTGGCCGGTGAGATAGCCATCAGCCTGGGACTGCATGTGGCTTTCCTACTTAACACCACCGTGAACCCCACCTCTCTCCCTGCCTCCCCCGCTCCTCCTCTTGCCTCATCACCCTTCCCTCTTAAGGGGAGCTTTGCCTCCCCCGGCCAAGGGAAATGAGCCTGCTCCCCAAATGCCCAGGGGCCAGCGCCAAGCTTGATGACTCAGAGAGGTTCCAGTGTGAGGAGAAGCAGGTAATGAGTGATCTCATAGCTAATGGGTAACCCTCCCCACCTCCCCCCAGGAGAGAGCCCTTGGAGTGGCCTCGTGGCTGGGCGGGGGGTTAAACACAGCCTTTTAGAGAGCCCACAGCTGTGGAGGGCACGCCGTTGGGCTGGCTCTGAGGCTGGCTCTTGGGGAAGGAGGGGGCCTGCTCCCCCCGATGGCTGTGCACTGGGCTTGCTGGGCAGCAGGAAAAGTCTGTGTGGACACGTGGTTCACAGCTGTCCACACTCCCTCATGCCCTGTCCCAGGTGTCCCTTGGGGCCTAAATATCCCTGCAGCAAGTCCACAGAAGTGTGTCCCCCAGAGCCCCCAAACCTGGCCTTCTGTTCCCCGTTCCCCATAGTCCTGTCCCACACCCCTCGACACCCCCCACTACTCCCCTCGTCTGTTCTTCCCTACCCCCATCACTCTCTCTATATTTTGTTTGGGCTGTTGCATTGGGCTTCCCGAAAAGGCAAAGGATGATGGGAAACTGAGCGTGGTTCTGTAGCAAACGGCAGCTTATAGCTGTGTGATCTTGGTTCAAAATACTAACCCTCTCTGAGCTTTGGCGTCCCTCCTTATACAGTGGGGAAATCAGCGCTGCTATGAGGACCGCAAGAGGCAATCCAGGTACAGCTTAGCCCCGACTCTCAGCTGAGTGTTCCAAAATTGCTCCTTCTTTCCCTTGCTGAACAAACTGGGACCTGGCAGGTTTTCCACAGCAGACCCGGGCCAGAGAAGCAAAACCTGTCCTTGGGGGAAGTGTGCTCACCTCTGCCAGTGCTCGAGCCTTCCCACGCTGCCCCCGCAGTATTCCAGCCCCAGTCTCCCCTCTTCTGTCGACCCACTCCATGCCCGGCTTCCAGGCCCATTCCTACAGCCCCACCTTTCTCCAGGCAGGCCCCCTCGCCAGAAATGGCTCCTGCTTTCCTACCTCAGGTCAGTTTGTTCTTAGGGACTGGCTCAAGACACTGCCTCCAGGAAGCCTCCCTGACTCCCTTCATCCCCTGCTCTCAAGGGTCCTCTCTGTGGATGGTGACACTGGCCTTTGTCTGTGCTGAGTTCACCCTTCCCAAGTATTAAGCCTGAGCAGGGGCGTGGGTCTCTATTCTCCAAATGCCGCATCATGTCCCCTCAGCTGGAGTGGTATATAGAGCAGGGGCTCGCTTGTTGGCTGAAGGATGGCCGACTTCGGGAGGGCCCCCTCCTGTCCTTACAGTGGTGAATCCACAGCCTGCCTCGCCTTACCCTGGGCTCAGCTCAGCCCTGCTGCGAGCATCTGGGCAAGTCCCTGGACTCATCAGGGCTGCAATTCCTCATTTGCAAAGCAGCAAGTCTATCCCTCCTCACAGGGGCCTGGTGGGGGTCAGGTGCTGGGCACAGGGCAGGCAGTGCTGAACCCAGCTTCCTCCACGTGCACGCCGGGGTGTGCTGACCTGAGCCCCTGTGGCCCCAGCTTTGCAACAGGGGACTTGGGGTGCTTGTCACAGGCGTGCTGTTCTCCTTCCTGGCTCAGCAGGCACATTTATTGACCGCCTTGTTGAAGGAGGCCTCTCAGCATTTGGTAACCAGAGTTCTCATTGGGGGCCACCGGGGCCCATCCTCATGTCATAAATCACTTTGCTAAAGATGCAACGTGGCTTTGGGGCATTTTTCTTTTGAAAAAATCAATAACTCGTTAACAAAGAACTAAATAAAGGGGTAAGCGATGAAGGCCACCTGCCATTCCCTTCCTTCAGAGAGAGCCGAAGCCAGACCTGCCAAGATGGAGTAGGGGGTCCACTCAGGGTCCACTCAGGCTTGGGGGGGCAGTAAGCTCACCCCTCACCCCGACTCTTCCAACCCACAAATCTGACCAAGTCCCTCCTCTGCCTCAGTAAACACTTCAGAAGGGCCCCACTGTTCTCAGGAGAGATTCGAACTCTCCCACGATGCCAGGTGGGGTGCTCACTGGATGAGTGAGGGATGACATTAACATCAGATGCCTTCCTCCTCCCCTGTGGTTCCTCAGAAGCCCCCACTGCAGCCTAGGATAATGGTGCCTGCCCCCCAGATAACCCTCCTTCCTCCCGAGTCCAAGCTCGCCGTGGCCTTCTCCCCCTACTAGGGCACAAAGAGTTGGTGTGTGAACCTCATAGTAAAAGCTGACAATTAACAAGCACTTGCTATGTGGCAGGCCCTCCTCTACACATTTTACACACGTTAACTCGGTTGTCACAACTACTCATGAGGTAGGTACTACTCTAGTCCCCATTTCACAGATGAGAACACAGAGGCAGAGCCTGGAACAGAAGAGCCAAACTTCAGACCCAGGCCATCTGGCTGCACAGTGTATTGATAACCATAGCCCTTGCCCTTGCCCTTACTGAGGTGCTTGTGGGGAGTCTGGGGCGCCTGCCTTGCAGCTGCGATGAGCCAGCAGGCCTGAGGAGCTCGGGTTACAGGAAACTGCTTATTCAGGCCTAGTGGGCCTGGGATCCCTGATTCCCTCCCTCTCAGATTTCCCTGCTCAGCACCAGGCCCGTCGCCCACACTGCCCACCGTCTCTACAAGGAGCGCAGCCTCTGGCCCTAATCTCATTTGAGGCCATGAAATCACATTTGCAGCATATTAATGCAGCGCCGAGCTGGCCCAGCCCTGCCTGTCTCCTGGAGGACAGGAGCCTGCCAAGCAATCTCTCGGGGAGGCCGCTCCCGGAACACCCGCCGACAAAAAGCAATTATACTTTAAGAGGAAGATTAAAATAATATCTCCCCCCCACCCCATGCCCGCCGGAGGAGGGCCTCAGCTCCGTGAGGCCCCCACCGCCTGCCAGCAGTGATTCAAGGGCAGGCTTCCTGCGGGATGAGGGGTGGAGGCAGACTCAGCCTT